TACCACATTACAGGTTGCGGTATGCTTTACTGAGTTAACTTATCATCGAAATCTACAATGACCTAGCTAGGACATGAGTAATGTAGTTTTGGAACAAATAGTTGACTTATAGTCCTCTTACAAATCGCTCACAACATAGTGTTTTTTCTGTACATTGTGATTTCCACAAACTCTCTTAAATCATACCTTCTGCGATGAGTTAGCCCAAATTACCTAATACAGGCTAAGTGAGCACGAGTGCTAAAGTCAAAAACGCCCGCTAGTGCTATCAGTAGCCTATCTGAAAGATACTCATGCGACGCCAGATGGTGACCGTAGTCTAGTGGCCAGCCTTTGTCACTCTCTTTTTGGCGCTCGCAATGCAACGATTTGTTTTTAATCACAGATCAGAGAGACTCAAAGAAGGGAAATAAAAAGTTGCTATTGCACATCTGTCTGTTACCCACCTAAGATTTGGAGAAAACGCTAATCGTTTTTTGTGCTAATTTTCAACGAATTCTTCCCATTCAACCATTCTAAGAGTTACCGCCAAGGCAAAATTAACCAACAAATTAACCGCGAGAATCAATTTCTTCAAACAAAATCGCTCGACCGTGCTTACCCATCATTCAGCATTGTTAACGAGCAACTAATAGTTTTTGTCTAGTCATAATCGGGCCATTCATCATCCTCTCATTCCCACACATCTGCTCTCCTCTTTACTGATTTACAGTCACTGCGATGCGCTTCACGACTCTCTTCAGCACAATAATATGTATAAATTTATTTGACGAAATAGGCTTTAACGCACTGACCAAATTTGGATTACGGTAGTTGTTCATTTGCGTAGGAATTGAGTGGCCTGCTGGCCGAGCTGATATTAAGAATTGGCCACTTTATTCTTTACACTAATATACTCGCAGATGAATGGCTGAATTACGCTGAATACCCCCAGCTGTGTGCGTTGCTTTACTTGAACGAGAACGAAGGTGAAATTCCTCGCTCAGCGTAATTTCAACGCGATGATAGACCTTCAATGGCGGCAAACAAAACCCGTAGGGATAATGAATTATTTGCGGGGAGAAAAGTGTCAATTGTGTTCTTTGAGGTATTTGACTTAAATGAATGCAGTATTTTCAGAATCGTCGGGCCAAATCGAAACGACTTCAGGAGGCAGAAGTGGAGAAGGTGAAATTCGCTCAAGCAAGTGCACTAGCTGCAGCAGCGGTTGTAAACGCACAGAACGATCCGTCAAAGACTTTTCTCACCTTTGGATATCCAACACAGTGGTGAGCGCCGAGCTTTCGAAAGTCTTTAGTACGCGTTCCTGAACAAAGTTTATTTGTTCATCTCATTTCCGTGCTCTACTTGCAATCCATTCCTCTCTTGTTGTGAGACTTTGAAACGTGTTTCCAAAATAATCCGTTTAAATGGTGCATATTATAGAACTGAACATAGCTAAAGGGTAACTGTGTATATAGATATGATTATCCTTCAAAAATGTTGATTCAATATTAAGTGTTGTGTAGAGAGAAGGATTGAACCGCCACTTGGCGCCATTTCCGTAGTGACCGCGCGACCTGAAAGAATCGAGCCGTTCCCACATATTCTTTAGCCAAATAATTGCTGACAAAAGTCATTTCTTCAGCAATCGGATAAAGTGAAAAGGCTGCGGCTCACGTCTACGGTGATAGGTATGACAAAAGCGAAAAACGTCAGCCATAATTCGACTTTTTATCCTATAAATAAAAGCTTTTGATGACGCCGCGCGCTGCGATATTCACCAGATTCAGCAGAACGAGGGTAGGGGGGATGAACAAAATTGTCAGCCATTTCCTACTCGTCACATTGTACATGTTTCCTAGAAAATCTTCATGCCAGTGCGTATATATTGTTGTTCAGCATTTGTTTCATCATCTTTTGTGTTCGTCAGTGTCATTCATATGTTTTCTTCTTCACAAATTACCACTCCTTGCTCTCAAGCTTAAACAGAGCTAGTCTGTTATAGATTCTTTATTCTAATAAAACAGATCATTAACCAGTTCGAACATCTCAAGCTTTAACAAGCAAGACAACCTAACTCCTATTGCTCCAACTTGGTACAAGCAATGACAGCCCGCTATTGTTATAGTTTAACAATTGGAGAGCAACAAAAATAACCTGAAGTATTTATGGACCCCAACCTACTCTCGATGATTTACATTTAGGTCGCCGATTAGTGTGTAACAATGTCTCGCAGTTGGTCCACACAGCGGCTCCTCAATGGACCGGAGCAGCGCAGATGTGTGGACTAAGTGGTAAGAGCGGTCAAAAACAATAGTTGATTGTTTGGAAAC